CTACCCACTGAGCCAAACCGGTTAGGGCTAGAATCCTAACTTTTATGCATGTCAACATCAGCATCTGTCAGCCACAGCTGGGGCTTAAGATGAATTCTATTCCCCATCCACGGGTGCTCCCTTTTGTCTCAACCTTCTATTCTAGGGGACATCTCACCTTACAAAGTCTAGTTCCCCAAAGGCTAGAAGCAAATCCTTCCCCCCAGCATCCGTCCCCACCTCCATTCTGGCTTCCACCCTGGCCCATGGCAGCCCCCCCACCCCAGCCCCATGTGGCCTCACCTCACAGGAGTCTTTGCCGCCCTCGGGGGAGCCGGCACACACCATGTTGCGTGTGATCCTCCCCGGGTAGGCTTGCCGGCACTCCTCATCTGAGCGAAGCTGGATGTTGGCACACTGTAAGGCTTGCGGAAAGCTCACTGGGGAGGAGAGAGAGAGAAGGTCTGGGGATATCGGTCTTGGACAGGCCATGAGGTGGGAGTTCAGGAGGACAGTTGGCAGAAAAGAGAGATGGGAAGAGGGAGACGGGGGAGGAAGTGATGGAAGAGACAGAAATGTGGGGAGAAATGGGGGGAGAGGTAACAGGAAAGGGAAGTGGAGGGAGAAATGGGTCAGGGAGCTGAGCGTGCAGAGACACAGATGGGGAGGGAGAGGAGGAGAGGGAACTGATGCATAAAGACAGAGAGAGTGGGGAGAACTAGGAAGACAGAGGAGGTGAGAGGGGATGGAGATGGGGGAAACCACAGGTGAGGTGGCAAGAATGACAGGAGAGGAGGGAAGGGGTGGGAAGAGAGATGAGGCATGCTGGGCCGATAGATACAGAATCGCAGCTGGAAGAGCACGGGAGTGGCACAGGGCTCTGCTGCTGTAGATCAACTTTATATTCATATACATATGTATACACCCATATATATAACACATCTATACACAAAGGATAAAGCAGTTTACATTTTATTATATTTAATAACTATATACCTACCATAATATACAATTTATATACAAATATATTTAAATAAA